CCAAGTTTTATTCAGGTACAAGCTCTCCCTCCTCTGCGAGGACAGATCTGCATGTTCCCCCCCCCCAATAGCTAGCAATCCAAAACAGTCCAGTGGAGCCTGAGCAGTGGGTGTTGCCTTCTGACACACTTCCGGTGATGTCAGAGGGTGTGGCATGTGCAAATAAGCTATGCTAATTAGCTCCTGCACCTCTTTTTCTACGAAATGACCTCTGGTTACACTAATGGATCAGCAGTTTAGGATCCACACCAGGAACTGTTACATGTATCTCATTGGCTGCCTTGTTTATAACTAAGGCCTGGTTTACACATGCTGAAGAATGAAACAGTAGACTGGACTGCACCACTTTGGACCGCAGGAAGGAAATTCCAGTTTTGAATTCTCCTCTGTATAGAAGAGTCCATGCACATAGAAAAACAAGGCTGCACTGTGCTGGTATCCTTCAGGGAGTTTTTAAATTAAGAGAGCCTTCCAGAACAGGACCAACCATGATCTTCCACCTGCAGTCTGAAGTGGTATAGCCCATTCTATCACCTTACTTCACCAGGCATTCTCCTATGTGTGCAAATTAGACCTTAGGAAGAGCTAGAGTTTTAAAAGCAGCAACACATTTATCTTTGTACTGTCTCAATACTACTTTCAGCTTTTAGACAGAGAAAAAATAAAGATAGAAACACAGAGACACACACACTTAACTTCTGTCCTGTTTTGGTGAGTCAGGAAGCCTTCTTGCCTCATGTAAATGGAATGGCAGCTAGGCACTTCTGGAAAGAGTAGACCATTTTAGTTAGAATGTGGTTTGGAATTGCACAGGCTAACAGCAAAGCGGGTTGAAGACAAAATAGTACTATACAAAGGCCAAAGACACAGGGCAGGGACTACCTGTCAACACACAGAATAGCGGTAACAAAAAAGGGAAAAAATTATGTCACCAACAGTAATTTTGTCCAACACAGACCAGTGAAACAAAACCTTTGCTCCCATAATAGTTAAGAAAATTTAGAAGAACAAGTAAAGCAACCAAAGCTTGTTTGCCTAAAGTGGAGCACAGTCCATTTGAAGAAATAATAATAATAATAATAAATAATATTTCTGAAGCCCACTGAATGGAGGCTTGGCTGACACTGTGCATACTTATGTAGGACAGTACTTACATTAAAGAAAAAAACAAACTATGCCAAAGAAATAAAATGATCAAGAAAAAATTTGAAAGATTAGATATTTCCATTGAATCTTGTTAAGATACAAAGGGGACAGAACTAAATATATAACCCTTGGCAGAAGAGCAAGAAAAAATCTAATAAATAAATTAGTGGGGGAATAGTTCACCTTCTGTAATGGGAAAACAAAGCAATCGTTATGCTTTAGAACAAAACCAAAATGCTTGCGTGTGGAATAGCACTTCTCCAGAGAAAGCTATTCATGCCCCCTGTGAACAGGTTAGTAGAAATACACACATAATATAATATTCTCTAATATAATATTCTCAATTTTTAATTCTCCAAAATACTTGTATTACTAATTTAAACTGTATTAGTTGTTTAAATATCCAACAACTACCACATGCTTTAATTAAATACACAGAAATATTTTGTTGTCTTAGTTTCCCTCCTAATTGCTAATACGGAGGATACAAGATAGTCCTTGCTCTTGAATCTTAGGCTGGTTCAATATGTCATAACAATAAGCTTGTCAATAAAATCCCGAAGAATCTCAAAACAAAATTTTAAAAAGATATCAGTAGGAACAGTTTCTTCAGGGTTTTCAGAATGCAATACTGAATTTTACTGTTCACTGGCTAGTGATGAGCATCACGGACTTGGAAGGAGAAGAAAATGAGATTTTACATTGAATTCACCAAGCAAGTGCAGGCACAGATAGCAATAAGAGTTCATCAATTTGTAATCTCATTCTACAAACTTTTTATCGTTCTTTTTCACTATGAAGTGTGCTTGTCACCTTGGACCTATAGTATTTCAATGCTTTGAAAAATAATAATTTTTTAAAAGTCAAGGGACTTGGCAGAACTAAATGTGATGCTCAAGACTGGGCTACCACCAAAGCCTAGAGCACTATGTCAAGTTCTTCCCTCACTGTTCATAATATTCAAATAGATCGACCAATGTTGTAACATTACTGCATTATGTGTTTTCCCCACCGCTCACTACTGTCAACAGGAGCAGAGGTAAGTTTGCTTGAACATTATGGGGAAGGGAGAGAATTTGTTGAGTATCATATCTAGTTCTATTCTCAGTCCTGCAACTCTTCAGACAATTTTGATTTCCGTATGTACAAAACTAATTGGATTTTCAAAGAAGCAAGCAGGGCAAGAGGAAAAAGAGAGAGTGGGACAGAGAACGTTAACAGCACCGCTTCACTCCAATGTCATTGCTTATGTTCATGTTCTAACTCATATATATGCATTCAGTTTTGGCCATTTTAAAGTACTGGGGGAAACCTGCTAGAATATAAAAATAATGGCGAGACTAAAACTAGCCAGTGATCAGAACTGAATTGGCTATATCAAGGTAAATGCTTGCTTCCATTAGAAGCAAAAAACTATTAGCTTACGACACGGGCACTTTAATGTTTACTTTTATATTTTTATTCATTCCAAAATGTAGCATTGCTATGTTATCTGCCCCAAAGCATTATCCTTACAACTCAAAGAGTTTTCTCTCTCTCCCTCACCAAGTGCATCCTCTTTTCCTCTCTCAGCCTTTTTTACTGCCCAGTAGTCTCTGCATTCCTTAGTACCAGCTTACTTCTCTGCCACAAGTCTGTACTCCTGTCTATTTAGTACATTTGTCTCCCAACCCTTCCTCCAAGGAGCTCAGGACAGCATACAGTGGCCTCCCTCCTCCATATTACCCTCACAACAACCCTGTGAGGTAAGTTAGGCTGAAAGAATGAGTGGACCAAGGTCACTCAGCAAGCTCCATGGCAGAGTAGGGATTCAAATTCAGGCCATGCATATCTAGTCCAATACCTTAACTACTACACCAAGCTGGTTCTCTTTGCATCCTTATAACGTTCTCTTTTTTGCCTCTTTAGCTCTACAGTTCATTTGGCTCTCCCACCTGTTGTGCCCCTTTTTCTCACCACAATTCTTCCTGCATCGCCATTCTCTCTTTTTTCCTCCAGTGTTATGCCCCCTCCTCTCTGGCTTTTCTTCATTGCGCTCAGTGCTAACAACACACACAGTTTTCATTCTCCCAGCTGTTCATATACTGAGAGAGTCTCTGCAAGGTGGGCCCTGCAGCAGGATGGCTGACTGCAGAGAAGCAAAACTGGCACCAATCTCACCCCACACCTCTCAATCCAAAGGAAGGATGCAGAAGCAGTGCATTCATTACCTCACTCCGACCCCACTTTTGATGGGCTTGGGAATCCCTTGGATAGTTCAAATGTAAAAGCATACATGAGTATATGCATTCCTTTGTCTTTGAAATCCAGCTATTCTAGGGAGGAAAATATGTTTCTTAGGGGGACAAGGTCACAAAAAATGGGAGATTCCAAACGCCATTTCTCCAAGGACCTGCAAACAGTCAGGGAAGGGAGACATAACCAGCCCAGGAGTTTCCATCTTATCCATTCCTAGCCTGTTTTATGTACTTGTTTTATCCACTGTGAAAAAGCTAGCTCCCACTAATGCCCTCTCACTTTCAACCAGTCACTGGAGACACTCACGTATTGGTATGCTAATTGTAATTCGCATCTGACAGTCTTCAAAAACAAACAAAACTTGTCTTTGGTCCCTGCCACACGGCAGGGAAAAGGACGCTCGAACTGCGGCTAATGTGAGCCGCAGCAAAGTTGAGACGGCGCAGCGGGATCTCACGGATCCCCCGAGCCGCGGCGCCGTCGCTCCCCAACACGATCAGATGCCGGGGAGAAAGCGACGGTGGGGAGGGGAGCCTGGCGAACTGCGCATGCTCACACATGCGCAGTTCGGCCAGGAGCCGGGGATGCGCCGGTGCAAGGACGCGCTGGCGATCCCACGGTCAGCGTTGCTGCGGCCCTTCGAAAAGAACCACCTCGGTAGGTGGTTCTTTTTTGGTGCGGGGCAGCGCTGGAAGGGCCGGATCAGGGACGGAGACGGTACGCTTCCCAGATGTTGCGGTGGGATCGCACCCGTTTGCTCCGCCCCCGTTCCGTCCCGCTCCCGGCCCAAAAGGCCTCGTATGGACAGGACCCCAAGCCTTATTAACTACAATTTAACTATATGATTAAACAGCCCATAGAGGACTGAAAGAAAAATATGGCTGAGCAGAAGTTGAGGAGGGCAACCAAGATGATTAGAGGGTTGGAGCGCCTTCCCTATGAGGAAAGGCTGAAGAGTCTGGGAGTTTTCAGTTTAGGAAAGAGATGACTAAGGGGGAACATAATAGAGGTTTATAAAATTATGCATGGGGTGGAGAGAGTTGACAGAAAATTTTTTCTCCCTCTCCCAAAATACTAGAACTTGAGGGCATCCAACGAAGCTGATGAGCAGTAGGTTCAGCATGGACAAAAGGAAATACTACTTTACACAGGGGGTGATTAAAATGTGGAGTTTTCTGCCAGAGGACGTCATGAAGAACACAGGAATAAACAGCTTTAAAAGCTGTTTATTCATGGAGGATAGGTCTGTCAATGGCTACTAGCCATGGTGACTGAGGGGACATTTCCACATTCAAAGGCAGTAAGCCTCTGAATCCCAGAGCCAGGAGGCAACATCATGAGAAGGCTTCGGGCTTCAGCCTCTATGCTCTGTTGCTGGCCATTCAGAGGAACTGGTCAGCCACTGTGTGAGTCAGGATGCTGGACTGGATAAACCACTGGTCTGATCCAGCAGGGCTCTTCTTATGTTCTCTGTTAAGTAACTGAAGTGCTATTGGTTAATTTATGACTATCAGAATGGGTCAAACTGTAATCAAATTGTAGAAACATTTCCAAAGTGATTATTCAATCAAATGACTAACATGGTTAATTAGGAGCCATAAACATTGCTCTGAAGTTCATCAAAGTAATGACTTGCCCAGACAAAAAATTACTGCCAATTAAATTGCCTGCTGCTTTCATTTCTACCTTATCTAATAAAAAGGCCAACCAATGAAATTTAACATTGCAGGTTTTAAATTGTGCTAAATGCTTGACTAAAGCCTAGAAGTATATTAACTAGCTTACTGAAGTTACATCTTGAAGCAGGAGATAAATATCAGCAACTATATAATTTCTTCCAATTTCAAGATGCCCCTTAAAAACCAAACACCATATAGCGAAGCTTAGGTATGAATCTATATCATAAAGACAGCCATGAGTCCAAAGGCTTCACTCAGTGCACTGCCTCATGCCTGTTTACCCATCTCCTCTACCCATCTCTTCTAGGCAGACTGGGTGAGCTGCCACCATTCAAACATTAATAGATTAATTTCAAGGCACAGAAGTCCTGTGGAAAACTCCTCCCTTCAGGGCATAACTGAGCTGTAACCAGTTGCAAATTATCACCAGCAGACAAAAGTCAATGAGTTCTATTAAAAATGGTAAGGGAAAACAAAATGCTGTTTTAGATATATAGGGGGCAAAAGAGTGCAGGCTGTCAAGGCACTTTTACCACAGCATGGGATACTGGAGGAAAGGATGGCACAGAGGTGAAGAACAAGCAAGCAAAACAACTGTAGAAGCCCCAATCCAGCTTTCTCAATGTCTCCTATATTCTAGACTTGGGTTAGTTCCACAGTCCTGACAACCACAAGCCTGGTGGGTAGACGCATCCCACAAG